TGCTACAGATTGGTCCAGTCGTGAGAATTTTTGTCTTCTTTTTTTTCTTTTTTTTTTTTAAGCCAAACTTTTTATTTCCAAAGTGGTGCCATAAATTTCTACCGAGTGCCAATGGTCACTTGCCACACTCGCACCAGATTGTCTGTGTAGCCAGAAAACAGAGCCTGGCCATCAGCAGACCAGGCCAGAGAGGTGCAGCTTTGCTGCTGTTGCTGAGAACTTCTTGCTTCAGTTCATCTACAATGATCTTGCCCCCCAAGTCCCAAATCTTGATACTGGGACCTGTGGCAGCATAGAGCCAGTAGCGGTTAGGACTGAAGCACAGGGCATTGATGATGTCACCACCATCTAAAGTGTAGAGATGCTTGCCTTCATTGAGGCCTGGCCATCCTCGCCTCCAGAAGCACAGAGGGATCCATCTGGAGAGACAGTCACAGTGTTCAGGTAGCCTGTGTGGCCAATGTGGTTGGTTTTCAGCTTGTAGTTAGCCAGGTTCCACACCTTGACCAACTTGTCCCAGCCACAGGAGACGATGCTGGGGTTGCTGCTGTTGGGTGAGAAGCGGACACAAGACACCCACTCCGAGTGACTCTCATCCTGGACAGTGTACTTGCAGACACCCAGAGTATTCCATAGCTTGATGGTTTTATCTCTGGATCCTGAGACAATTTGCTGGTTGTCAGAAGAGAAGGCCACACTCAGCACATCCTTTGTATGCCCTACAAATCTGCGTGTGGTAGTACCCGTTGTGAGATCCCAGAGGTGTAGCATTCCATCCCAGGAACCAGAAAGGGCAAACTGGCCATCAGAGGAGATGACCACATCACTAACAAAGTGGGAGTGGCCATGCAGAGCACGCTGAGGGATGTCATAGTTGGTTTCATCTCGGGTCAGCTTCCACATGATGATGGTCTTATCTCGCGAGGCGGACAGTATCATATCTGGGAACTGCGAAATGGTCGCAATTTGAGTTATCCAGCCGTTGTGGCCCTTGAGGGTGCCACGAAGGGTCATCTGTTCAGTCATGTTGACGGCGGGTGTGGGAGTCGCCGCAGCGACGAGGATGGCAGTGGATAACTCAGAGACGCCGAGAGCACAGAATTTTTGTATTCTTAACATTGAGCCTCAGTCCATATTGAAGGCTGCAGTCCTTGACCCTCTGCAGTAAGTGCATTGAGGTCCTCCTCAGTTTCAGCGAGCAGGATTGTGTCATCTGCAAAACGCAGATTGTTGATAGATCGTCCACCAATCCTAATGCCACACTTTTCCTCATAGAGCCCAGCCTCTCGTATAATCTGCTCTGCATACAGGTTGAAAAGGTATGGAGATAGAAAACATCCCTGACGTACACCCTTCCCAATTTTGAACCATGCAGTGTTGCCCTGCTCTGTTCTGATGACTGCCTCATGGTCTAAGTATAGGTTTCGCATTAGCACGATTAAAAACAGTTTGTTATGATCCACGCAGTCAAATGCCTTTGCATAATCAATGAAACACAGATAGACATTCTTCTGGTATTCTCTGCTTTCAGCCAAGATCCATCTAATATCAGCTACAATATCCCTAGTACCACGACCCCTTCTAAACCCAGCCTGGACTTCTGGCAGTTCTCTGCTGATGTACAGTTTCAGTCGTTTTTGGATAATCTCCAGTAGAATCTTGCTTGCATGTGAAATAAATGATATTGTTCTGTAGTCTCCACACTCAGTTGGATCGCCCTTCTTTGGGATGGGAACAAATATTGACCTCTTCCAATCAGTTGGCCAAGTGGTTGTTCTCCAGATTTCTTGGCACAACTTGGTGAGCACATCCACGCAGCATCTGTTAGCTGAAATATGTCAATTGGTATACCATCTATTCCTGGGGCCTTATTTTTTGCTATTTCCTTCAAAGCAGCTTGATCTTCTGCCTTCATCACCATAGGCTCTGGCTCAAATGCTATTTCATTAAATTCTTCTGTACCTGCCAATTCCTTTTGGTACAATGACTGAGTATATTCCTTCCATCTTCTTTTGATACCTCCTGGATCATTTAACATTCTGCCTAAAGCATCCTTGATTGTAGCAACTCGGGGTTTAAATTTGCTCATCAGTTCCTTGAGCTTAAGAAATGCTGAATGAGTTCGGCCCTTTTGATTTTCCTACTCTAGCTCCTCGCACATTTCATTGTAGTATTTTGCTCTGTCATTCTGTGCTGCCTTTTGGAATCTTCTGTTCAGCTCTTTAGTGTCTTGGTTCTTCCTTGCGCTTTGGCTTCTCTATGTTCCAGTACAATCTTCAGAGTTTCTTCTGACATCCATTTTGGTCTTTTCTTCCTCTTCTGTCTTTGTAATGACCGCCTGCACTCTTCCTGGATGATACATTTAACATCCTCCCACAACTCATCTGGTCTTCGCTCATTAGTGTTCAAGGCCTCAAACCTGTTCCTGAGATGATTCTGAAATTCAGGTGGTATGAAATTAAAGTCATATTTTGGCTCCTGTGGTTTCGGTTTAATTTTCCTCAGCTTCAGCTTGAACTTGCATATGAGTAGTTGGTTGTCTGTTACACAATCAGCTCCTGGCCTAGTTTTCACAGCTGATACTGAGCTTCTCAAGCAGTTTATGCTTCCACATTTGGAGTCAAAGAGGAAGAAATTGAGAATTTTTACCAAATCTTGCAGTCTGAAATTGATTGAAGATAGAATCAAGAGGTGTTAATGATAATTGGTGACTGGAATGCAAAAGTAGGAAACAGTGAAGAAGGAATAGTAGTTGAAAATAATATGGTCTTGGTGATAGAAATAAAGCTAGAAATAGAGTGATTGTTTATATTTTGTTTGGTTTTTTTGTTACTTTAACCCTTTTTTCATTTTTTTTTTTACTGATTTTCATGTAATTCCAGAACATCTCCAGAGTGCTGAAGAGCAACTATGTCAGTCTCTAAACTAAGGTGTGTCTGATCCAGGCCATGGTATTCGCAATTACATGTTATGCATCAGAAAGTTGGACAATGACTAAGGGTGATAGAAGGAGAATTGATGCCTTTGAGCTGTGATTCAGGATAAGAGTATTGAATATACCTTGGACTGCTAAGAGACCAAACAGGTTCATCCTAGAGAGGGTAAAACCAGGCTGCTCCTTGGAGGCAAGTGTTCTGAAGCTTCATCTGATGTACTTTGGAAATGTTGCAAGGAGGGATCAGTCCTTGAAGAGGGACATTATGCTTGAGAGGGTAAAGGGACAGCACAGAGGGGGAGGACCCTTGATAATACAGATTGACTCAGCGACTGAAGTAATGGGGATAGGTGTCCTGTTTCATTCATATACATTGTGTGTTATATACAATCTTTCAAATACATTGTATTTCATGCAATCATTCATATACATTCTATTTTACTTTTTTAAAAAAATGCTTTTCTTAAAGTTTGTATACATTGTGTTTCCCACTTTTCTTCATTCATATTGTTTTCATATAATCATTCTCATACATTATGGTGTGTTGGGTTTGGTTTGGATTTTTAATTTAATATTTTGTTGTGTACCATAGAGTCAGAACTGACCCATAGCTGACTCTAAGGCAGGTTTTCAGAGGCAGTTAATCACATGTGAGGAGATTGCCCATCCTTTTCACATGGAGCACCTGGTGGCTTTGAACTATGTGCCTTCAGGATTGCAAAGCAGCTTCTTGCCCCTAGGTCACCCGAGCTCCCCTTTCTCTTTTATGCTGGTTGACATATAAAGTTTATATACATTGTTTTTTACACCAGATCTTTCTTGCTTCCTTAAGTCACACCTTCCCCCACCCATTAAACCATACAATCCTTTTATTACGCCCTCCACCCATCATCACCCTGTGCTCCCACTCTCCCCTCCACTTAGATCCTTATACACATGTTACTAGTCATCTATTTCTACAATAATGGTCTTATACAGTATTTATCCTTATGTGATTGAGTTAGTTCTCTTAACATAATGCTCTCCAGTCACTCCCAAGTTAGATAGTGATTTGCAAAATCAGTATTCCATCATGTGAATGTATCATAATTTCTCAATCTAGTCAATTGTGGTTGGATATTTGCATTGTTTCTATGTTCTTGCAACAGTGAACAATGCTGCTGTGAACATTGTTGTACTAGTCTCCATTTATGCCTCAGTTCTTATTTTCTTAGGATATATTCCAAGTAGTGGAGTAGCTAGCTGGGTCATAAGGAATTTGTATGTTGAGCATTTCGAGGAAATGCCAAACTGCCTTCCAGAGTGGTTGTACCATTTTACAATCTCACCAGCAGTGTATAAGAGTTCCTACCTCACCACATTCTCTCCAGCATTTTATTAACTTGCTGTCCTGTTTGCCACTGCTACTGGAGTGAAATGGTATCACATTGTGGTTTTGATTTGCATCTCTCTTATTGCCAGTGATTTTGAATATTTTTTCATGTGTCTGTTGGCCACCCAAATGAATGATAGAATGTTGTGTTTTCAATTATTTATTCATTGTAAATACACTATTTTAAATTTTTTTATGGGTTTGCTTACAAAGTTCATATATATTGTGTTTTATACTATTCTTCATTTCATACAATCATTCAATCTCATTTTCCTCACTGTTTTACTCCCAGCATAGTAGACTATATGATTGTTTGATTCAAAATAGACAAAGCTAGTTCATCTCAGCTCATTAATGCCTAACATTGATTTCTTTTTTAACAATGTCTAGTTTTCTTAAAGTCGTACTTTGTACATTCCATGTTCCAATTATTAATGGAAGTTTGGAGATATTCTCCCTCATTTTTTAGTGTCTTTATATAGGAAGGCTTTATACCCAGTATTATATCTAATAGTGTTCCTCTATTTTTCATAGAGTTTTTGAAGACCTGTTGTTTCAGAAATGAATTATCAATACTTCTTCAGAGTAAAAGCCACATCAGTCTTGACAAACCAGAGCCTATATTGTTAGAAATATGCGTAGCTCCTGTTGGCACATGGTTAGCTAGTTCCTCCAAATACTTTAACAGACCTCCATTAGTGGGCCCAGAATTTTACCTATGTGTTCTATGTTGTGGTTTGGCCCTAGTTGTTTGTTTCATAGACAGAAGAGATGTAGACTATTGTTGTTTTTTTTAGGTGCCATCGAGTCAGGCACAACTCATATAGATCCTATGAACAAAAGATATGAACCTTGTTCTATCCTACACCTTCCTCATGCTTCTTGATACACAACAGGCCACTGCCGCAGCCACTATGTTAATCCACCTGGTTGAGTGTCTTCTTCTCCTTTGCCCACCCTCCAACTTCCCCAGCATCATGTTTTTCTCCAAGGATAGCATCTCCTAGCAACGTGCCTAAAGTATGCAAAGCCAAGCCTCATCATTCTTGTCTCCAAAGAACACTCAGACTGTACCCTTTCAAAACTTAACTGTTCATTCTTTTGGCCATCCATGGGATGTTCAGTGCTCTTCTCTGACACCACAACTCAAACTCGTCAATTCTTCTTCTCTCATCCTTATTCATTGTCCAGTTCTCAGATGCATAGCTAGTAATCAGAAAGACTATGGCCTGGATCAGACAAACCTTAGTCTTCAAACTGACATTATTACTCAATAATTTGGAAAGGTCTATAACTGTAGATTTTCCTTGTCCAATGTGTCTTTTTATTTCCTGACTACTGGTACCAAGGGTGTTAACTGTGGATCCAAGCAAGATGAAGCTGTTAACAGTTTCAATCTCCTCCCCATCCGTCATGATGCTGCCTATCAGTCCAGTGGTAAGAATCTTTGATTTTCTGACGTTGAGATACAATCCATACAGAATGCTGCATTCCTTGGTCTTCTGCAATAAATGCTTCAAGTCCTCCTCATTTTCAGCAAAGGGACATAGGAGTAGATCTTAAACAATCTACTTCCTTGAATTCTATTTAAGTAAAGATAGGTTTGGGAAGTGTTATCCTTAACAGGGATGTCTCATCAGAAATTTCAAAATCTGAAGATTCAATATGTTTGCATGTATCAGCCCTTATATCTTCATGTGTATGAGGATTTTCTCAAGATTCCATTGCTCAACAAGGGCTCTCATCTTGGTATAGCAGACCTGCTGTGGTAA